ATAGAAAATGAAAATTGAGCTGTACCTTTCTGTAGGAACATTACTCCCAGAAGAAATTTTATCAGGTGCTTTGCAGGAATACACCTTCTCCAAGTTAGACTGATTTTAAACATAAAAAGTCCATTTTAAAAAATTAGAAGTTTCAAAAAACTTAAATATGAAGAAAATAAGATACATCTCACAATGACAATTTTTCCTCTGACTAACCAAGTTATCAAATAAATTACCTGAAAATAAGCTCTTGAATTATTAACTTCTAGGGTTCTAAAGCAGTTAGAAATGCAACATAATGTCCCATTCCTCCCAAATCTATAGAAAATATATAATTAAAAGAATTATCTGAGATATAGCAAGAGCCCAAGTTACAAAAATGATTCAATTACATTCTGCATAACTTCAATAATGCAGAAAAAGTTCACTAAAAAATTTAATTCAGCAGGTTTTTCTCCTACCTGTGTTCTAAAGTCTGCCTGTGGGTATTTAATCTGTAATAGTTATCCAAGATCTAAAAACAAAGCAAGAATGTGTGCATGCGTGTGTGTGTGTGTGTGTGTAATTTTAATGAGATCATTTAGAAATCAGGCTTATTTTTCTATCGACTAAGTATCATAATATGTAAAAAAATAAATTCCGAGACAAAGGAGTTATAAAACAGGTTTAAAAGTATCAAAGTGTTACTTTCTCAGATACTTCTAAGTGTTCTATTAACCCCAGAAATTATATATTGCACATTTTATTCTGCTCATATCACTTCTTTCCAAATTTTATATTTTGATATATATGGCATTTTCCTCTTTGATTACAGGAGAATTAAAATATAAAATTTTTAAATAAAAAAGGAAATAAATAAGAACCACCTCTTTAATAAAAACAAACCTTCTTCTCTGCAGTTAATTCAGTTGGTACTTGATAAGAGAAATGCTGTTCAGTGCCTGAAGACACAGTTTTAGAACTGAAAAATAACAAAGTTCAATTATTGTGAATATTAAAATGTAATTATCTAATCATCGTGTCTCCATGCTCAGAAAGACAGGTGAGATTATATTACTTTTAGAACTGATGATTTTTAAAACTGATTTTTTTTTCCAGAAAAAGCTCTGGAGTGTTTTAAGCTCTTTAAAGTTAAGTTTAAAACTGAAGTTTTTTAAGTTTAAAAGAAAAATGATAATCTAATGCAGGACATAGTGATTATAGTCAACAATACTATATTATAACTTCAAAGCTGCTAAGATCTTAATTTTCTCAACACAAAAACAAATAATTATGTGACCTTATAAAGAAAGGTGTTAGCTAAGGCTACCGTGGTAATCATATTGCAGTAGTTAAACGTATCAAACCAATATGCTGTACACTTCATACTTAAACAATGTTATGTCAATTATATCTCCATTTTAAAAGCCTGATCAATGAGTGATAACATGTGAAAGTACTAAAAAGACACGCAACAGGTGTACCCCTTTCCCACCCTCTACACATAAGCAGGAAATATGGTATGTGGATTCTTCAACACTGATCTCCACGCTGCTTCTTTAATCAATGGGAAAGCACCTTTCTCAATACTATCCTCAATTACTTCCTATCAACCAAGTGTTCTATGATTTATCTTTCTCCCACTGACCCATACCCCCCAAACGACTAAAAACTATATGCAAAAATGATATATTTACCCATTTTACCTGTGTGGTGCCTGTAAATTGAATATAATTTGAATCATTTAAACAAAAAGCCCAAATGTTAAAAAAAAAAAAAATGAACCTGCGATGAAACTTCCTTGGACACAATTCTTCATTAGCTTGAAGGACAAGTCTCTGAGGAGATCCCATGTTGGCTTTATGAAGCCAATTTCTACCCTATTGAATGCAAGAAGAATCTTTTAATGCATAGTGAGAAAAATTAAATCAAACAGGTAGCCTTCCACATTGTTTACCTTTTCTGTAAGGGTGCAAATCTTTGTAAATCTGTTATGCCCAGGAACTTCTACCAAGAATCCCTCGGTCATGAGGTGAAAGGAAAAAGCCCTCCACCAACTCCTTGTTTGATCTTTGCCACTGCCAAATAATTTGTGACTGCGATATTTATCTGGAAGACGTTGTGAATTCTGAAATTGGGAATAAAAATCAGTATCTAAATACACTTATTCATTCAAACAGGATAAATAAAACACAAAACTGTTTATTGATTTTTTTTTTTTTATTGAACACTAAATTTCAGCTTTAAAAACCTACAAAATATTTATCCTGCTTGCTCTGAATACTTAAGTCACAAATAAATATATAATCAAAATAGTGTTCCTTTTGTGTCTTAAAAGTAATGGGACAGCTTGGATGGACTTGGAGAATATTATGCTAAGCGAAATAAACCAGTCAGAGAAAGACAAGTATCACATGATCTCACTTATATATGGAATCTAATGAACAAAATAAACTGATGAACAAAACAGATCCAGAGACATTGAAACATGCAACAGACTAATGTATCTCAGAGAGAAGGGGGGGAGGGTGGAAAGAGATTAATCAAAGAATTTATATGCATAGCCCATGGACTAACGTTAGTGTGGGGAAGGCCTGTGGCGGGAGAGGG